CCGGCGACCAGTCGCGCGATCGGTCGCCGGTCGCTCGTGAGATGGGTCCGCGACCAGTCGCGCGACCGATCGTGGACTATGAAAGATGCCTTTCACGAAGAGCAAAACCATTCTCAGCAGCAGACCTCCTCAATGGAGAAATGGGAAAATTCGAGCACAACTTCTTGCTCTTCCGAGGCCCATGATCCCTTTTAAGGTTGTCCTTCCATGAAGTGATGACGAACTTAGAAAGCATAAGTAGAAAGTAAATAGTAGTAAGTAAAGTATATGTATGAAACACAGTGTGGAGCATTTGGAAAATTGAGAAACAGTAGATGGAAGAGTTCATTTCTGCTCAACCGCCAACCGTATATCGGAAGGGAGAGAGTGTTAACAACACTCTGGATTTGCCTACCTAAACTGTCTCTTGCAAGACTCAGTAACCTTTCTGCTATTCTGAGCGAATTCTGGAGCGCCGATACGAGGCAGCAGCGGCGGCAGAATTCAAGAAGTGGTGCAGTTTTTCTTACGTGAATGTGGTCGTGTTGCAAAGGCAATGACTCCAAGTAAGTCACTGGCTGAAGATGTATGCAACCGACTTGAAAATACCACCGTTCTTACTCTCTCAACGGAAGATCAGGAACGTGGAAGTGCTACTGAATACGGGGAAGTGGATCGCCAACCGCCAGCTAAGCAAGCCACCAAAAAGGGCATTGACGAACTCCTTGAAAGGGAGCTAACAGACTGAGCTCCAAGTTGCACCGTATGCATCAACTTATCGCTGTTGACCTTCATAAGAGTTGATGAAATACCTTCTTTTGTAAAACTGAACCTATCAAACCAAAAAGTGGCTACATTTGTTAGATTTGATCTATTGTTTTTGGTATATTTAGTCCAATGAAGGACGAAAGAAGGCGCAGGGCGCAATAGACGAAGTAAGCGAAGCAATAAAATATCAAAATGGCTTCCGAAAATGCAAATGCAAATAGAGTGTCCGATCGCAATGCATCCCTTTCTTATCAGCCAAGAATAGTATAAGAAACTTATTGAGAGGAATAATAACACGGTTGAAACAAGAAGAGGAAAGCCATGGGGGTGGGTAAGGGAGATTAAGCGAAGGACATAGATGGTACTATCTTTAACCGT